TAGGATAATAATATCCTTCCTAAGCTAGTATTCTAATTAAAAGTTAAACTAAAAGAGGTACTCAGCCTACCTGGCCTATTATTCTAATAAGATCTACTAAATTATAAAATATTAGAGATTCTAGTAATTAATAAGGATAGTAAAGCCCTTATAGCTATAAAGCTTAGCTAACTATTATTTAAAATAGTAGATAATTACTAATATCTCCTTATTATAGATTAAGTAATTATATTCTACTAGTAAAAGCTTTTAAAAGTAGAAAACTACTAGTTTCCTCTAGCTATTAACCTCCTATAAAAATATACTATCTAAGCTAAACCCACTATAGTCTATTTCAATATAAGTAGAGTACTTTAGATCTTATTTAGTTAAGATAAATACTCTAGTAAAAAGTATCTTTAGTAGATTAAATACCTTCTTATACTCCTATAATTAAATAAAGGGGGTCTCCTTACTTATTAGTATTATAAGAGAAATAGCTATATTAGAGAAAGTAGGGATAAAGATCTAATAATAGTTATAAAATCTTAGGAAGCTCTATATATTTATTTATATTATTAAGCTCTACTATTTAAAGATTATATAGACCTTCTCTAGGTCTACCTATATACTAATACTAGTATATATTATAAACTTAAAATATTTAACCTTTTTAATAGTAAATTTATATTTATTTAGGTCTAGATAGAAGCTATATAAGTAGAGATACTTAAGGACTTACTATACTTTCTAAAAGTAATCCTTTTTAAAGCTATTTAAATAAATAAGTATATTATCTATATAAACTAATATAAATTTATTAAAATAATCTTTTAAGATATTATTAATATATTACTAAAATATTACTAGTACCCCTATAAGCTTAAAAAAAGTAACTATCTACTTAAAAAAGCTATACTTTATCTAAAATACTATCTTATATTCCTCTTCTTCTATAATCCTTATCTTATAAAAGGCCTAGATAATATTAACTTTTATAAACTACTTAATATATATTAAAGTATAAAAGGTCTCCCCTATAAGTAAGAGGGGATATTAATCTAAGTAGATAATTTAGTTTAATCCCTAGTAATTAATATAAAACTATATCCCCTTATTTAGCTTCTATATAAAGAAGACTAATATAGCTACCTTAAAGCTACTAGCTTAGATAAACTCTTTATTAAGGAGGTTTTTTAATATCTTCTTTAAGACTAGGAGCTCCTCCCTTAATATATTATATAGTAGCCCCTATAGGAGGGGTAGCTCTTTACTATCTAGCCCCTCTTTAATTAGGATACTATAATCAATTTCTAGCTTATAAGGGTTAAACTTATCTACCTTACTCTTTATAAATAGTAGGAGGAAGTTATAAAAGTACTAAAAAATAATTACCTATAATTCTACTTCTATCTTTTTATACTTAGGAGCAAGAGCTTTCTTAATATCCCTTAAGCTTACTATAAATACTAATATATCTACTATTACCTAGCCCTTCCTATACTTAATCCTTCTTACCTCTATAGTAAATACTAATACTATTATATAGTAGGTATCCTATAGTTCCTATACCCTTAATAACTTTTCCTATTTACTAATATAGGGAACTTATTTTTTTTATAGCTTATACTAGAAATATTTCTTATAGAAAATAGAAAATAATTAGCTATAAGTTAACTAAGGTTTCCCTAAGATTATTAGGTACTTTAGGAGCAGGATTATATATATATATATAGTATAAGTATAGCCTACTACTTTAATTATAAAATAAACTATCTCCTAAATTACTATCCCTTTTATAGTAGCTAATATTCCTTTAATTACTTAAGGAAAAATAAAGATAATAGGGATATTAAAGTCCTTAATTAAGTCCTTACTTATAGTAGTATAATATAAATAGCTTTTATCTATAAGAATATAAATAAGGTTTTAATTATTAATAATAATAAAAATAATTATAAATTTAACTTTTATTTTACTATTAAACTCTTCTATCTAAGTTATAGTTAAATACTACTCTAGAGTTTAATTTTACTATAAAGCTATTTTTTTCCCTATATAAAACTATTTTTATTATCTAACTCCTTAAATAGTAGGATATTATAAATAATATTAATTCTAATCTTCTTTTTTAGAAATACTACTAGGGTATATAAGTATATAGCTATAAAGTAGCTACTACTTCTATAGTAAAAGCAATACTCTTCCTCTTAATACTTTTCTCTTTCCTCCTTTAAAACCTACCTAGCTTTCTTAGCTTTTAAGCTAATATAATTACTATTATAATACTAACTAGTACCTTTATCTAAAATATAAGTTATTTTTATCTAGATATCTCTATCTAAATCTATTAGTAGGGACTAGTTCTTCTTAGGAAAGCTAGTAGGGTAATATAATAGTAAGCTTATACCTAGGGGGTATAGACTATTCCTTAGAAAGTAGAGCTACTTCCTATATAAAGCTTAGAAAGCTAAGGTCTACTTATATATCTAAGTAATAAAGTAGAATCTAATAATAAACTTATTATAATCTATTAGTATTTATACTATAATTAGTTAAATAGTAAAGCTTAAAGATAATATATTCTATAACTATAAGAAATAGGATCTATTATCCTAGCTTATACTACTTACTTAGGTAAGGACTTCTTTAAATTCTAAGAAGAACTAAAAAAATTATTAGTTATCTTTCTATATTAGCTAATAGAAATAATTTTATATATCTAGCTATATCTAAGTATTTTTAAATATCTAGATAAAATACTAGATAAAGTCTATAAAATTAGAGTTACTATATAGGTTACTAGTAACTTAGAAGAGATAGATCTATTATTATTTATCTTTTAAAATTATATCTATTATAATATATTATATTACCTTATTAAAGCTAATTAGCTTTATAAGATTATTAATTTTATATTTAATAAGGAAGTAGTTTAAGAAGGGGTAGAATATATCTAACTTACTATCCTACTTTAACTATAATAATATCTTTTACTTAATTTAGCCCTTTAAAGTAGTGCTAGTAAAAGTATTAGTATAAAGCTCTTAGCTTCCTAATTTAAATAGGAGAGGAGTTATTATATTAGGTAAAAGTATACTAGGGGTGATAGTAGCCTAAGCTATAGTAACTGCCTCCTGAATTAATTAGATAAATTTGCTATTCCCAAGGAGAGTATAGCCTACTTACTAGATCTAGGGATCTAATATTAGTAGCTATAGTAGTAGCTTAATATAAAGCTACTCTTCCATTATATCTAATATCTAATAGTATATAGTTAAATAATATATTATAGGGTGTAGAGTATTCTTATTAGTATATCCCTATAAGTAGAAAAAATAGTAGAATTATTTAATAAGGAAAGAAAGAAAGAAACTAGATTATAAAAGTAGTAGGTAAGCTCTCCTTATCTACTATAGTAGAACCTGCAGGAACCTGTGCTTATATATTATAGGTACTATTTGCTTACAGGCAGTGCTATTCCTAGATAACCAAGGTGAGGGCTAGTTCTAGCTGCTAGCAGCCACAGCTACTAAGTAGTGGAGCTGCTGCTGTGCTGGCAGCTACCGCTTCCAGGAGAGGGGAATGTTTTTAGCTAGCACTAAGCGCTAGCCCCCTACTTTTATAGGGCGCAGCCCCTTTATAAAATATACTTTTTATAATAAAAGAACCCTATTATAAAAAAATATATTATTTTTAACTTATAATAATAAATATATAATATATTTTCTTTTTTCTTTCTTTTAATAAAAATATATTAAATTAAGAAATCTATTTTATAAGTTTTTTAAATAGTTATAGATTTAATAATATAATATTTTTTAATATAATCTAATATATTAATTAAAATAATATTACTAATAATAATAAATATATAAGAAAAACTTATAGGAATAAGGAACTAATAGGTAAATAATCTATTTATAAATCTTTAGGGATAAAGACTAAAGGAGGGGAAATATTATATTATAAGCTAACTATTTTAAAAGCTTAAAATAATTAGATATAATAGAAAAAAATAAACTATAAGAGAATATAGACTAATAGAATTAAGATTAATAAAATTAATAAAGTAGTCTTAATAATCTAAAATAGGACTAATAAAGGAATATAGTTAATCTTTACTAAGGACTAATACTAGAAGAATATTAGTCTTAGAGAGAGCTTAGAAGGGAAATATCTATATAAACTATAGGTTCTACTATATATCTAATTTATCTTTTAAAACTTTCTAGTAGTTAATTTAAATATAACTACATTCCTATACTTAAATATATACTTTTTACTAATATCTTATAAATACTACTTAACTACCTTACTTTACTACTAATAGATAACTACCTTAATCCTATTACTAGTTATATCTACCTAATACTATCAATAAGCTAGTATTAAGATTATAATAAATACTATTTAATTATTTTACTTTACTATAAATAGATAATTATTTTAATTTTATTATTAGTTATATCTATTTAATATTATTAATAGGTTAGTACTAGGATTGTAATATATATATAACTACTTTATTATTATATAGTTATTAAATATACTTATATTTATAGGAGCTGCCTATACTAGGAGAAGTTGGTCTCGAGAAAGAAATAATTTATGTTAAAGTCTAACCTAGACCCTACCTATCTATCTAAACCTGTTGACGGAGTTCCACCTACCTCAGTTCCGCTAGGGTACGCCGTAGAGCATTCACTAGCTCGGGCTTGCAGGAGATTATAATACAACTCGAGGCTATCCTTCCCACCCTGTGCAATTTTCAACTCGCAAGAGCTACCTGTTTCTATCGCCTCCACCTGAGCCAGAATCATGCACAGGAACATGTAACTCTTGACATTTGTTTCGCCCTTGCGCATCCGTTCTAGTAATAGGTCGATCATATCGTTCAATGCCTTCTTGAGGATAGCCCGGTATTGCGAGGTCCGATGAAGGGTCCCGTCTAGGCGTTGAGTCTCGACCTGTGAGAGGAGCTCCAACCCGATAGAAGTCATTGCATACCTAAAACCTTCCTAAAACAAGCCACCTCCCACGATCATTAGGCGGTGGAAGGCTTCGTCTGGCTCCGGAGAGATAATAGCCATGGCAGCGTCTATGCTGACTTTGAGGGAGTAATGGAATAGCGGGTTGGTCCGGGCCTTGTGGGCAAAGGAGCAGTGTAATGGGATCATAAATCGACGGACTAAATAGTCGAGAAGGTTACGGTGGAAAGGCGTTACGCCCGATTTGCTATTTTCATTGAGGAGTTTGGTGTATACTCGAGAGGCTTCTGTTATTTCCGAGCTGAGAGAAAGGATGTCGGGGTATGAGAGCTCAGAGTGCAAGTCGTTCAAAAGCCGCAAAATTCGAAGGCGCGTTGGCAGTGAGTCGAGAAGGATCAGTTGCATCGAAGTTTCGGTATAGATAGATGTAGGGCGGGAATGGAGTTCCACTGTGGATTCATCCATATCTTCATCGTTGACGTTAGAGGGGGCTGCCGTGTCAAACTCGTCCAAGGAAATCCGTGGAGGCATGGCTGAATCTAGAGACGCTTGTACAGCCATCTCGAGGATAGTAGCCCATAGCCTCCTCCGCAGTTCTGCTTTCAAGATAGACATGGGTGGGAGGTGTTTGGGATCTCTACTTAACCCCATCTGCATGGCCTGGTGAACAAGAGACCCTATTGATATCCAAACCAAGTCACCACCCACGGAAAAGATTTGGCGAGCAAGAATCATAAGGCAGTGAATCTGCAACCCCGCGAAGCTCAGGCGGTCTTTCTCCAAAGGCCCAGATAACCATGTTTGGGCAGCATATATCCACTGATAGACCTGGTTACGGAATTCGGAGTCAGCGTCGTCTTGCTCATGGAGACTCGATCCTATGGCGATAACGAGGAGGACTTTTAGTCGGAGGCTTGTAGAGGCACTACCGGGATCATCCCAGTATCTCTCGTACTCAGCCCAAAAGCTCGGTCTATGGAGAATTCGGTATGTCGACTCGAAGGACTGAAAATAGAGAGTAGACATTGCATCGGCGGTTTCTCGGGGTGGAGGCGCAAGAATGAGCCCGGGTGCCATGAGAGACCTGCTGGGCCGCCAGGCTTTGAGGCTTTTGGCAACAAACTTGCATTTTCGGAGGAGGTCGCCCATTTGAGCGATAAGATCAGAGGTTTCGGCACCTCTGGGTGAATCTACGTTACCGGAGCCAGATGCCTCAGCATAGCAATTTACAATAGGCAGCAGCTTTTCGTGGCATGATTAATAAAAGGCCAAGGCGGAATGGGAAAAAGCGTGGCAATAGGTATGGACATACCTCCTGACATGCCCGTCCAGAAGCTCCATCTTAGCACTCGGGTCTTATTCAGAACAATTTGGCTATCCTGAACGGGCCCGTAATGGAGCGAGAGGATATCCCGGCTCGGGTCGGGACCGGACGAGGAAGATTCCTCAAGTTTCCGTAACCTCTGTAGGATATCCTGGAGATCTGACTGGACGTTCGGTTTATGCGTCGATGGTTGGATACCAGTACGATCGACGAGGAGAGTTCCGTCATCCTGCGTTTCCGTTGACGCGGTTCCAGTTGCTGGTGTTGGCATTACAGGTAGTGCTGTCGACACGACAGTAGGCGCTGTCGATGAGTAGCTATTATTATTGCGTATTGGTCTGCCGGAATCCTCTGCCCGTCGGTCCGGAGCTAGTGTGGGCGAAGATGAAGGGGCTGTTGGACTTGGTGTTTCGTTCAGGGAGTGGAGTTGTTCCGTATAGGGGCAAAGAGCCGGACCATCGTTATACACTCTGTATGTACACCGGGCTTTTGTTGACACGCAATGGCTGCAGGGGTTGTTCCGGTCGCACTTGATCTTGCGGCGGCGACACTCGACGCAGGAGAGGGCCGGTCGCCTTCTCCGCCGGCGAGGTTGCGGATCCATTAGGACTCGGAGTATTTCCCACCGCTGAATCTCTTCAGTTATCCTTGGGCTACACACTAACTTCGAGATGCGTGAAAGAGTAATAAAAATGGTGCAAATGTCTCTTTCCGAATTCCAATGCCGCCTCGACATACACCATGGAACGGAGATGAGAAAGTGCTTGAGAACCACATCGACCGATAAAGCCGACGGTCTCGGCGACAAGAAGCTTAGTCATCTGTTCCATTATCTCCGTTGGGTCTTTTTTCGGCCGAAGCCCGTAATTTTGTTCCCAGCAAACCCCGCTTAGCTCCGCCCATATCTTGATCAGTTCTCTTGATCCTCGGAGAGAAATGGCACCTCGCCGTCGTGGACCTGGGCTGCGAGGACCCTTTGGCCGTCCGTCGAAACACTGAATCGTCACGAATCAACCACAACATCTCTCATGCGCCACGAAAAAGTAGCTCGCCTTGCACTAGTGTCTGAGACACAAAGCCTGAGGCGCAAGCAGAGATGTGCCGTGTGCAACTTGAAAAATTCGACCAGATAGGAAGGACAAGGGTATCATTCTGCATTGAAATTATGGAGACAACCTAGATATATAGATATTTGTAGTGTATGTCCAACACGACCGCACCTCCGGCCCGGAACATAGAAGAAAGAATGCACGCCATCGAGCGATTGAACTGGTTTGCTTCCCGTTATTAAAGTATTAAGTGGCATGCCCGAGCTGATCTCCGCTGATTCCCCCTTCCCCCAATGAAATTTCTTGGCGAAAGGACGTTATGCTGTCTATTGAGGATTGGGCGCTACAGGGCTGACGCTCGATACTTCCGACGGACTCGGGATTCGGCCGGGGTTCAATGAAGCCTGGGGCGCTTCGGATGCGACTGGGCGACGCGATGGGGGTGCGGTGGGATACAGGTGTCCAGGAACTGGTGCCGGAGCGGGCGAAAAAGCCGCCGGTGGCGGCTGCGGTACGGGTTGGGCGGCAGGCGCAGACCGAGCTTGATAACTCTGATACGCCTTGTAGGCAGACTCTGGTCCCTTCAGAAGTTCGCCGTTACGGTCGAGAATAAGCCGGACGGCACGGTTTCGGACGCTTGTTTCCCAGCAGGCGATGACGAAGAGAGTGAAATGCGTGAGGCTGGGGTATGGCTAGTGTCAGTACGGATAAGACTCGTGGCATGCAGAGCATGCGGCCAGGAAACAAAAGGAAAAAGAACACCTACATGAGGATAACGCCAAGGGCAACCGTCGCCGTCCGCCGAGAATGGCTGACGACCGCGTCTCCATACTCGTCGTAATCCCAGCCACACCAGCCTCCCCAGCAGAGCAGAGACAAGATGATAACACCGATTAGGAGGCCGAGCCAGATGATCAGATCCATGGCGACGCAGGCGCCAGGGTGAATGCCTAGATGACCTGTTCGGACGATGAGGCAGACAATTTCGGCAATAGTCCAGCAAACCGACAAGATGAGCTAGGATTCGAGGTTAGCCAAAACGACAAGCGCATCCATCAAGTGGTTGTTTCGACTAGCAGCGTCGTTCCCAGCTCAGCAGAGCAGAGGTCAAGGGCGACGCGCGCTCATCCGGACATACCTGGGCACCAATAACGGCAAGCGGGATATAGCCGTCAGTGTAAGAGTAGTAGTAATCGTCGTATGAGCTTTGCGCTGCGACCGACGAAACGATGCCAATCAAGGCGATGGCGATGACGGCCGCGATGCCGCGGAAGACGAGTTTCGCGAGCCACGTCGCCTTTGTCGAGGCGACGATGACTTTAATCGGCTCCATGGTTTTGCTGGTAGTCATGCGCGCCGCGCACGAGGGCTCCTCGAAAATGGCGGGTCGAGAAAACCGAGAGTCAATCGCGAGCTCCCCACGCGAGCTTGTCGTGCTTGGTCGTTGTAAGGGACGAGGGTGAACCAGGGGGGAGAAAATAAAAGTCAAAAGAAAATGGGCGCGTGATGGAATATTTTCATGGTAATAAAAGATGCAGTCAAGACCCAGGCAACGCTTGCAGGCAACACAGCTGGAAGGGGGACACCTAATTTCCCTATGCTCCACAAAGATCGGTCCAAGCGTAGGGCGATGAATCAAGATTGGGTGGCAGAATGAGCCGGGATCCGCTGTTAGGCGAGAAGGGGAACACGAGCGAAGTGAGCTCTTGGCTTGCCACTTTGCCGGCCTTGGAAAGGATTCAAAAAGGAGCACAGGCTTGCACAGCCACCCCTCATCCCGTGTAACCATGATCTGCACCTGAGGGGAGCTCGATTTTCTCGGTCATAATCTTGCTGCTCTACCCCATTAAATTTACCGCCATCTTTGTAGCAAAAAAGGAAAAGGAAATAGTCAAAGATCAGATTGGGGAGACCTGTATTGTGCTGAGTCAGCTTGCTGAATCCTCATAATCCTCATAATCCTCATCGGATCGGTCGATCGATCCATCGTCTTTTGGCCATGGCTGACGGTGGTAATGGTTCGCCCGCAGGACCCAAAGTCAGTATGGAGGATCACGATTTGTGACACAGTCCATATATATGATTGTGGAACGGCGGGTCCGTCCCCCCCGGGGGCTGCGGCAGGATCCAGACCTGGGCTTGGGGCAGCGACGGCCCGGAATACCCGGCACCAAAGAAAATCGTCCGAGTCTGAATTTCGAATGCCAGCTAGATCCGTTACGAAGACCTTTGCCTAGGAAAAGCGCACCGTAGCCGTCATCGCCGAGTACAAGCCGCCGCACAAGCTGACGTTCTCCCGCAGCCTCTGTGGACCTACGCGATACGAATGCTTTCCATCATGTACTCTGCACGAATAAGTCCCCCGACAGACTTTGGAGCTGAGTTTCTGCACTACACCATAGGGTCGGCTGCGCCTGACTGACAGTAGCCGCTTCCGCGCAGACTTACTACTGCACGGACAAGCGAATCTCTTCAGTTAGGATAGCCTTTAGTTAAGAAGGAGGCTGTTGTACATGTTGTAGTTGATAACGAATCGTCTCAGAGCTTATCTCCCAGTTCCTGTAGTAAAAGTCCCCTCCTGTACCTATTTTCCCTATACCTATTGTCAAGTCGATTCTGATTCTGCAACTAAAGCGACGAAGACCACTAGCACTGCTGCGTAGGCTGCCGTTGCGGAGAGCACCGCAACATTGTCCTCGAGCGCGAAAGCCATCATGAGCCCAAACGCAGCGACGAAAACGGTCGTGGTCCACAACGCCTGTAGGGTATCGACTACTAATATTAAAAGCCACATGGGGCCAACCATGAACGTAGCTCCGACAGCGGCGACGCCGATGCGGGCGAAGCGCCTCCCGGCCCGGTTTTCTGTCCGAGTCGAGACGGGCGGAATATTTCTCTCTTCCCATCTCAGTACCGGGGTTGACTTGTGCCTCTCATGTAGCGGAAGACCACACATGACGTCTGTGAGCATTTTTCGATCAAGTTTTCTCTCGCCGGTGATCAAAAACGGATCTCATGGCTCGCCACCGCGTCTTTCCATGTAGTCGTGTTCCTGCAATGCTTGAACTACGAAAAGAACGCCGTCATCAACTGCTGCATCCAGATTTTACCGTGGTGGTGTGTCAGGCGAGACACTGCATATCTGCCGACCATATTTTGTAAGGTCCTCCTCCCAGTCATCCGAACATGTGTAATACATTGGATCCTCATAGATCCGTCACGCATGGATGGCGAGGCTAAATTGAAGTCGTTGGATGCGCAGTCTCTGCATCTCTGCCAGGCTGACGCGATAGCTTTTGGGCGTGCTGTTTTTGCAAAGTGAGAATTTATGAACGTCCCCGATAAGGTTTTTTTGATACAGGCCATGTATCCATTTTAGTCGCTTTTCTTGGTCGAGGTCGTGTACTATGCCGGTTTCAGTATCCATTTTCTCGACGAGCACATTGCTTGATTCACCTTCTTTCCACGGACGAGAGGGGGTACGAACCCGTCCACTCGTTAAATATACTCAGGTGCAAATTCGTTGAGCAGGCATTGGTGCCTGATACAACTGCATGAGTGCCCAGATGCGAACATTGGTGCGGAATATTCATGTTTTATCAAGACACCTCCATTCATCCCCTCGTGCTTTCCATCCTCAAGCAGTCCATACAGCAGTTCGAGTCTTGACGAAGTCCACATAACTTGACGACAATGTCTGCCGGCCCTGTCCAGGAATACCCCCCTGTCGAAATCGTTATCACTCCTGAAAAAGTGCGTCTCGCATTGTCGTTTTCATCTGACAGCGAAGCCCAGATATATTTCGAAAAAAATTGAACCCATCAACGCTCTCGAGCCCTCTTTAGTCGAACGAGTTGTTTCCCTCCGCTTGATAGGAGTGCATACCCTCATATGTCGCGGGACGCAGCTACAGATAGTGTTTGAAACTCGGTCTGGCTGCGGACAGTGGCTTGCGCAGACTAGACTAGACCATATCTTTACTCGTCGAGTCGGCTCACGGTTATGGCTTAAGAGGGTCGAAGCCCAGCACTACATCAACCTGGCCCGGAACGACTCACAAGAAGACGTTGCCGAAGATGACTCAGACGATGTTGCCGAAGGCACCCCGCACAATCCCCTGGCAAGGGCGCTGCGCAGGGTCGAGACATGGACGAAGAAGAGGGCGAAACGGCGGTCAAGGAGCAAGACCAGTGGGGACTGAGATGTCCGACTAGAAAGGAGATTTCCGGCCCTCAAATTCCATTTTATTTTGCGACACCTTGTTTGGAGCCCCCATGATAATTCCCATTTACTCTTCAATTCTTCGGCATCTCTTCATTTGAAACAGTCGCGAACAGCATCCATAACGCTCCTTGGATCATTCTGGAGGAGGGGTAGACCCAAAGAAGTCTTAACTTCGGGGGCAGATGGTCGCTGTCCACGCTAACCGGTTTTATGGATCGGTGTAAGCAAATCCCCGGTTAATCAGTTGGGTACGGAGATCAAGGGCTTTACAGCAACAACTCGTATTGGGTTAAGTGCTTTCTATTGAACACGGCTCCATAGTAGTGCCCTCTAAACCTAGTCAGATAATGTTGAAGCTATACGGCCTGTAAATTCACTGTTATATGCCTCCCTAGCGTGAAATGTTTGCTTTCACGTCTCCAATCACTTCAGGCCTATAATATACTTGTCAGGCACGCATAGCAGGGTTCAGTAGGACGATATAGTATTCTTTAACGGTCGAGTTCATTACCGGAGTACGAAGCAAGTAGAGCGGAATGAGTCGGGAAGTCCCCACCGCCCACAGGAGCTCGTAGAGGTCGATGCAATCCCTGGTTCCCCTCCGACCCATGCATCACCCAAACCAGTCCTGGGAAGAGGCGTACTCGAGATCCACCTTGCACCGCTCAAGGTCCGCGGGCATATACTCCTCACGTAGCTTCCCCTTCGTCGCCAGTTCGCGTCCGGAGCCGCCCAGCATCGAGCACACGACGATCCTGACGTCGTCGACCGTCTTGGACAGCGTCACATCCTCCGTCCCGCACTTCCATGAGTACGCGCTGACCGGCGGGTCGTCTGTCTTCTCCCTCCAGTACACCCCGAAGTACCCCACGTTGCGCGGCAGGCCCAGGCACCTTCCGTATGTCACGTCGTACAGCTTCCCCTTGGTCACCCCCCGGGAACCTCCACCACCCCGCTGTAGTACGTGAGCTCATATCTCCCTTGCACCTGGATGAAGCCGATCTTGTGCGACGCCGGCGCCTCCGGGTACATCCGGCGCCAGCTCGCCCCCGCGCGGAACATGGCCCAGAGCCTCCCCCTCGCCGCCACAGACTCCAGAGCTTCCCCGCGCGGCACCTTATGTTCAAGGCTCGTGCTGAAGAAGGCCGCGAAGACACTTTCTATCAGGGGGTTGGGCGTCCGGCCCCTATGCGGTTTGGCCGGTGCGAAGAAAAGCGTCTGCAGCAGGGAGAGCGAGGTCGCGATGGTGCTGTGCCATGTCTTGCAGACGCGCTGCGCGGATGTGAGAAGGGTTTCTTCTGTGATTACCTTCCCTGATCACTGTGCTTGTAGATGTGATTGCGACGATTACCGTAGGTGATTGTCGATACTGTTGGCGATCGCTTTTTCCCGTTGCTGGGCGGCTGCCTTCAGCCGGCCCGCCACTACTTTCTGCCGTGCCTTACTGCTCTCGGCCTGCATAAAGGTCAGCCCGTGAGACCGTCGCCCTTAAATAGTTCAACATGAAAACGGCCACAGAGGTGCCCGGTGGACTATTCTTTCCGATGACGTTCTTGATTATGACCAGTGGCCGTTTATAGGTCAAGTTTTAAAAAAGGAGAGACTAGGTAGTTTACTACATTTTTTCCGTCTTAAGTTCATCCACCTGGGCAACATCTTCGATAAATGTAGCGCCATACTCTTTCATAATCCGTATCTTCTCCTCCATATTCATTGCCAAGGTGATTCTCCCAAAGTCTCTCGGCAGTTGCCTGGCACTCCTAAACCGCAATACCCACACACCAACCCCATCCATCGGCCAACCAAACACTACCACCTTTTCTTCTTCTTCTGTCGCATCCCTTATCCCCATCTGTACATCGATCCAAGCCTGTTCACTCGGCCACAGTGTCGCACCAGTACGTCGCATCAGATTGCAGAATGTGTCCTCTTCGTCCGGGTTGGATGCGCGATGCGATACATGGGAGCGGGAAAGCGATAGGAAAAGCATGTCAAGGAGATCGGCCTCCTTGATGAGAACCCCGCCACTAGAGGGATAGCCGTAGACAATGCATCCTCGTGTGCCGAAGGCTGTCCTTTCCGTCATCAATAGAGGAGGGTTTGTAGGGCACGAGAAGCCGTGCTGTGATTCGTCGCTCATCAGTGTTTGTGGATGGGAGGTGGAGAAACCGTGGATAGAAGAAGATAATGGGGAAGTGATTGTTTGCTAGCAGAGAGCTCGTAGAAAATTGAAAGTAATAGGGAGGAGTGTGGGGTTGCTAAATCTCATCTTAGAATATCATATCAGGGATGCAAATGGAAATACAATCCTGAGCAGAAGAAGAAGAGTTGAGCCTTAGGTTTAAATAGTGAATTATTTATTATTCATGTGGCTTTGATTGACCAGAAGAGAAGAAGAAGAGACTCCCCCGAGTTCCACATATTTGCATAATCTGGGTGGGATCTGGGTTGGGGGGGGGGGGTTTTAGGCAGTAGCCCCTCTAAATAAATATAGGAAGTATTTACCGAGTACTCCGTAGTAGTGGTGCTGTTAGCCGTGTTAACCGAGGTCAGCAGGGTCCTTTTAAGTAAATATTTGTATCTTTGTTTGATAACATTAAATTAGCCAACAATCCCCGGTCTTGTGAAGTCATTGTCATTTTGTGGTATAATTATTGCCTGATCGGATAGGAAACCCTTTCCACTCCGTAGCTACCCTACACTGCTGTAACCGATTTGTTGGTTTCCTCGTAAATTCTGCAGTAAATCCTCCTCCCCACGAGAATCCTTCACACAAGCATCCTGGTCTAAGTAACCGAATCAGTAACCGTAAACGCTCGAGCCGCCCTCGTTATATGGCCGGAGTGGAAGATGTATTATAATTACAACAATATGGACTCTTAAGTAAAGCCTTTATAAAGTTGAATGCCATGCCATGCCATAGCCTCCTCCTCGTAACATGGAGTGTAGGTTGATTCTCTATCTTTCCCTCTTTATGGGCCGCCGACATGATTCCTCTCCTCCCTCTTACGCTCCTCTTCTCCCTGCTGCCAAACGCTCGAGCAGCACCACCTGATGATTTCCCAGGTGACGGGATTCCCTACCGAGTGATTCCAACTGGCACTGCCCTGCCCGAGAACTTTGTAGGAACCTACCTCTACCATTATGCCAAGTGCAAGCAAAACTTCGGCCCTGGGGCGAAGGGCAAAATCGACGACGCCTATTACGATGCGTGGGTTATATCAAAGTACGTGGATTTCCTATCTCTACTACCCTCACCTTCATAGTTATATGCCCTGGCTTCGTTATTGATTACAATTCCGACACACCGAAATCAACTGTGGGATACATACACTGACTTCCATTCTTTCCGCCCTCTCAAGTACCGCCGGAGTGGCATCGAATATCGATTGGAACAACGCAGCAGCTTTGGAGTTTCTCGGTGCTCCTGGGCTGAATAAAGGTCAACAAACTCAAATCCAGGCCGTCTTTGCAAACGTAGCAACGATGAGCTACAAAAACCCCTTCTAGCATTACATCAAGGTCAGATGTGATGATCCCGCCAAGTTGTGCCAGAGCCGACCAGATGAAAACCCATGCCAGCCCAAGTACGCACTTTCACCTTGTCTCTCTATTATATACATGTATCAATTCGTATAAGTGAAGTTGGGAGAGGGACTTGACTAATAAATACCCTTCATCCAGCCCACCCAACCCAGGCCAGAAGCCGATGCCGACACCTCTTGCATATGCGACAAGCTCGGACCCAGACAATAGAGGCACTCCAATGATTAATTTCTGTCAAGGCTTTTTCGACCGCAGGAAGCTCGAGGACGCAATCACGTACGGAAATGGGCTCACTAGCCCGAACAACCTGAGACTTGCAAACTACGACAACAGAGCAAGTGTATTCTTGGTGAGCTAGATTGCATACGTTGGGAGCCTCGACTCTATAGACCTGATATAGATATACTAATCGAATGAATTTAACCAGCACGAGTTATTCCATTTATATCTGGCAGCCGACTCTCCAACCCCTAATCCCCGTGTCACCGACCTCCATATTGAAATTAAACTGGGAAATGGGGGTAAAACCTACAAGACAGAGGCATACGGGCCCCTTGGTACTAAGCTCTTAGCTCGCTGGCAAGGCGACCCGACGGTTGGCACTGCCGGATACTATGTTCAGCGGAATGCTGACAACCTGGCATACTACGCATTGGCGAAGTATGTCATGACAAAGAATGGCAATATATATCCCCACCTACCTATCGTCGTAAACGAGATAGATGGTCCCCCGTACCCTATGAACTTTCCGGGTTCGCTTGCTATTTTCATTACCGAGGGTAGTAACTTCTACTTGAACACTACCGAGGGTCTCTCGGCCTGGGAACTTTCGCCCGGCGATGATTATCCGGGCTGTTCGGATAATGCCAACGACCCCCAAGACATCACTTCCTCTCTCGCCATCGATGGATTTGCCCCGGCCTCGGCCTATCCGGATAGCTATAACAGCGAGGTTGCGAGTTGGATAGATGATCTCGTCTTGACTGGTGGGGGGTCGGATCCCGGCTCAGGGGCAGGCGCCGGCCAGCAGATCGCGATTGCGTCTTATATTAACCCACTCGGAGACCCGGCTTCGTGGTCACGGCTTTTCACGTACGATACGGGGAAGCTCAGCGTTCTAGTCGCCAATGTCTTAAACGGTCCAGATTATGTTGTCGATCCAGCCTGGAAATCGGTGATTGACCAAGCTGCGAGTCAAGGCAAAACGGACTGGGTACCTTGGCGTAAGCCAACAACAATTTACGACTCGGCTGGGCTCGCATGACCTTGCAGACTGGGCTTCGCAGATTGAACAAGACATCGACAAATGGTACGAGCTGTACGGCTCCAGCCTTGGCGGCATCTTCTTTAACGAAGGTTGGCCAGAATGCGGCCCGAACAACGTTTATGCGGATCTATACAGCTACATCAACAATTACACCAAGCGTAAACACCCCGGCGCTTTCACAGTCCTCAACCCTGGGTCCCCGATTGCTCAATGTTACGAAAACACAATGGATGCGCTGTTGACATTCGAGAACAGCTACGAGAGCTACCAATCCTCATTCGTGCCCAACGACTGGACGCCCAAGGATCCCCGAAAGATATGGCACATCATCTACCGGGTGCCACAGGATAAGATTGCTGCCGTTGCCGCTCTTGCTCGGAGTCGTCATGCAGGCCTACTGGAAATTACCGATGATGAACTGGAAATTACCGATGATGACAATCCCAACCCGTACGACAACCTACCCAACGACGCCTATATGCAAGCGGTTCTCAACGCCGTGCCCGGTGGCAAGCCTGGAATTGACGACCCAGCTAAATTCACCGGCTCCTACGTTGCTGGTGTTCCGAGTAATGCCGCTGTCTCCTCTTCTGATTATAGCTCTGTCACCTTGACTTGGTCATCCGTCGGGAATGCTCTTGGCTATGCGGTGTATAAAAATGGCGCAGTGGTACTAGAGCTTCCTCCGTCGTTAACTCGAGCTACGATTGGCATGCTCGAACCTGGATCCTCAGACCTGACGTTCGAGGTACGGACCATCTTAGCTTCCGGTGGCGGGGGTAGCTCCCGGTTAATCTCGGCGAGCACGCAAGGCCTCCCAGAGAGTGGTACAATTACCAATGTCGGCTTTACACAAAATGGTGACACCGTTACATACACGGCCGATGTCCTGGTCCCGTACGCATTTGTACGACTGTTTATCGGTATTAAGCAGCCTTTTATGAAGGTCGGAATCGGCCGCGGGTGGCCAATCCAGGTGCCGGGAGTGGATGATATGGGCACTGCACACCACCAAATCGTGAACTACCTGGTTGAGGGGAATGAGTTTTACTCAGGCTTTTACCAATACACCGGCTCTTGGTACGAGGGGACTGAAGCAAATGCGGATTGGTCCTGGTCCCCGATCGGTGTCGCACCTCAATCTCAGAGTGGCTAAACATACACTTGGACCGTCCCGTTCACTGGTACAAACGCTGTAGCTAGCGAATACCTCATACAAGGCCAAGGGTACGCCCCGAGCAAGAATGTTTTTAAAGGTGAACTTCGTTATATTATCTAGGCAGACCCTAAATAGTACTAGAGAAACTTAGCTGCTTTATAGGCTTATTTAGTAGGAGAGTTAGGTATATTATTACTAAGAGTTACTCTTATAGTACATATTTTAGTTACTCTCTATTATCTCTACAAATAGTACTATATATTTATCTCTATATCTTTAGATATCTTTTGGGAACGACTATTTCTGGTAGCAATGCCTCTGTCTTTGGGATTGATTAGATGGCGGGTTCGACTGTTGTGATGGTCCCTGGGCGTGTCCGCCTGGATGGTTCGCAACCCATTGCCGACTTCCTCAGCGGCATCCAGACTCAGGCCTCCGGTATGATCCCCTACGAGCAATTTGGACTGCGGCGTATTTCCAAGATCGGACCCGATGCCAAAGCGGCATATGAATTAATTTGATAGTTTGATTATTATTTAGCCTGGAGAAGTTGCACCATCGGACGTTAATCCGGCCAGCGTCCTACTCCCTGTTTGATGCTGAGGTCTATGGTTTATTAGCAGGATCCGAAGGTTACTTTAGCTATCCTCTAGTTCTAATATGTTTTCGAAAGTGTAGCTAGATGCGATGACTCGATACCTTGGACAGTAGAAGGGATATGTATGCTCAAGCCAGGAAACTTCATTCGAAAAGTTCAGCGCAAAAGACAGCATCCCGTATTATAGCATGACATACTACGGAAACGTCATCCAGGCAGCCTATGGGTCTATTCTGGTCTTCCTTGCTGCCACAGCTGTTGTCCTTCCCATTGCGGTTAATTGCTACGGGGAGAAGAAAGACCTGGCTTAGGTAGGTGCTAGAGAGGAGGCGCCAGCTCATAACATGGGGAGGGAGTTCTCTGAGGCATAGTCCATGCCAAGAAAAGCGGTGAGAATTAGACATCGCAGAATATCCAGGTTTCGCCACACCTAAGTTCAACATAACCCCGCCACCAGAGTATCTAGCTACTCCTACCAACTTGATCAATTGACCTTTAATAAGTTTAGATGAGTTACTGTGCTGTGCAGCCCTGACACCGCCACCTCGGAAGAATCTTCTCCCCATGACACTTCGATCTCCTCGAGAGGCCAGATAATACGATCTCAACTATCTTGCTACGTGACTGTGGGCGACGGCTGGCTGCGGAGGATGGTTTGGCCACACGGGATGACACTGCAGTAAGAAGTGGACCAGGCTGAAGCATAGGCTGATCGGGGGCGAACTATGGTATTGGTATCCTTCACCATAGTTTCTCACAGCAGTTCTAGGTCTGACATGATACAGGCTAGAGTCATCGCAGTAGTCTCGGAACCCATTCCAGGGCGAACAATATACAAGATTTCATATTACTAGAGAATAGTTAATACATGCGCTGGCCGATATCTGTATTTATGATGGCCTCTCGACGACCGAGATGCCACTCCTTATTAAAGGTACAGAAGCAGCAATAACTGCCATTTGTTAGTCTCAGGATTCCTCTACTTCACTGAGATGTGATTGCATTGACACAGAAGGAAAATGGGCCAGCCATCAGTTTATCATCACCTCAAAGTCGGTATTTGATGAAATGTCTAGTAGAGAAGCTTGGAAAGATGTCAGCGAGAGTATGTATAAGGTGCTAGATAACATTTGGGAAACTGAGAATTGTTATTAGTGTCGATTCGGTGGTAAATATAAAGGGGTTTAGTTCCTTGTGATGCTAGCGATACGAGTCAGTGGCTACACAGGCTCCCATAGTTTGCGAACCGTCTCAAGGTGTCCTGCTGGAGTCTTCTTGAGTAGACCTGTGTGATAACAGCCAAGCTTTAATTCATTGCCAACAGAAACTAATACAAAGTTGCATTAAACAAAGTGCCTTTTTAGGATAGTGAGATTCGAAACTCGTAAGGAAGACTTCGGCGACATCTATCAACGATAGCATTTCTTCATATAGTAAATTATAAAGAGAGTTCGATGAGTGCTGATATCCTGGTGGTAGTTTTTCGGAGTAATCTCCAACACAGATAATCCTTTGGTTGCCCCAAGTCCCAAGAATGCAGTCGAATAACACTCGCATGAGGCGTGGAATATCCTCTTCGTTAAAGAAATCCCCCAAGCAAATATCAGTTTGATGGATCCATGTTTGATTGTAGATTTCATCCGTTGTAAGGTCCTCTTCAGTTGCTGTAGCCTCTTCATCTCTTTCGGGCGGAGCAGTAGGCCGAAGTTTACTTCGATAAGCTTTCAGGTTGTGCTCAATATAAATATCCCTCGTGAAGGATCTGGGCCGTCCGCATAAAAGCTTTATTCTATATTGCAGTCAGTAATGCTAGCTCCTGTTCTTGTGAGTTGGACGTACTGTTCATATGGCGGTACCATCAATCGCTGTTGCAAATGACGACCGGCATGTCCACCTGGTAGTATCACGCCTAGTTTGCCCCAAGATAAGAGTTCTCAATTGCTCTTCTTGATCTGGAGAGGCAACCTGCCAGTATTGTCCCATTGCTAAAATGACAGTGGAATGGAGAGTAGTCTGTATCAAACAAAAAATTGGAGGATAACAAGACTGAGAAATGGGTTCTGAGTTTAGCTGTACTGGCTGCTTTTAGTGTGTGACTAGCGTTGTTGAACAAAGTGAAGAATGGCAGATCGGACTCTTGGGGAACAGCCTCCTTTTATACTCCAAGACCAACCTGAGCTGGCTCCCAACTTTACAGTGTGGCAAGAGTTCTCAGAGATCTGGTCCTGGGTTGACCCTGCCACTCGAATCGCAAGGTAAATATGTTGGTGGCTTGTACGTATAGGTGGCTAGTTCTATGCTTAATACGAGGCATGTGTTAAGTGGCGTCGTTTATCCACTTTGCCGCACCAAAGGCTAGGTCCAAGGTAGAGACTTCAGGCTCAATGTAAGCTCTCACACACTTCCTTCCAACGTTGCATTCAGCAACCACCAGGTTCACGGGTAAGCCTGATGTTCCAAATGCTGCGGCTAGGAGCGACACATCCTGATAATTTATACATATAGTACCTAACACCAACCGTCTAGAATTACACTCTCCTATTGGAGCCTGTCCCTTCAGCGCAGGGCAGACGAGAATTTTATCAGATGGGGAGATGTTGAACAAGCTCTACCAAGACGGGGAGCTATAAATGGGAAAGTCTGTTACATGTATATGGCATTGTTAAAGCTGGAAAGAGTAAGGTTGATCGAGGGCCTCCTCTGGGCCGCTTTGAGAACGCGTCCAAGTCGCAAGATCTTGTCGTGGATATTCAATTTGATCCCGACAACTACGAGGACGAACAGCGCTTCTTTCGAAACTTTTTCGGATACCTTAACGACTGCAAGCGCGTTGGGATGGCTCCGAGTTTTTTCCAACTCATGGTATTCCTAAACAGCGCAGATACGCCTCTTGCGTTACCGTTACCCAGTCACTGGCTGCGCGTCGTGGTTAGCAGGGTGTTTACGATTATCGTCGCCTTCTGGGGGAGATGGATTCTCGGCTATAAGCCAACATATCCCGAATACCATCAACAGAAAAAGCTAATCTAAAAAGAGGAAGGAGACAAAAAGGCATCGGGACATCACGGCCGGTTTGGGCCGCTTTTGTGTTGGCGCTTGGACATGGGACTCTTCTACGCCTGGACGACAGCATGCTTAATGTACGTATTCGAACCTCACAAGTCCATGCGCAGAAGGCCTCGAGGTTAGTCTGAAGTGGTGTGTTGCCGTTGGATGTGATCAACGATAAACTCCTTCTCCCGAGGACCATTCTGAATCCAATTGTGTGCCAATATATCCCTGCACTGAAGACCATAAAGCCATGTGGTGCCTAATCTTTGACCTCGGTGGCCGCTTTTTCCGCTGGTTCATGCACTTCAACGTTGGAGAGTGCCGCCGGAAAAGAGCAGGTGCTCTCCTCAGCTATGCGGCTGCATTTAACCTTAAGTACTCGACAAGGAACGCAAAGATAGAAAACGGTGTGGAGACTGGAGGGGTACTTTATAGACCAAATTTTAGGTATTAACACTTCCCAGCATCGTAAAAAGCATCAAACTGGTAGCTCTAACTAAACAATGGGTACCTCTGGGGCTATCCCTGTTCGTTTGGTGTTTTGGTTTTGATGTCGGGGATTTATTTTATTCCAGCCAGGTACTGAGTTCTTCGTATCTTGGGTTAGAGTGAGGAGATGTTGTCGGTCAGATCTCGGTAATTGTTCGTGATCTCATGTGCTGCATTCGGAAATGTTCTTAAACCCCGCATTTCTCCACAGCGGCGGCCAGTTCCAAGTCTGGGGAGCCGAGCCTTGGCGCCTTCAGCACTGCGCACATCCAAAACGAACCCACTCAATCATCGCTCGCACCTTACAGGCACTCCGCAACAAGCGATGCGAAACCTGCTGACAATGATTAGCCCAGAAGCAACATCTGAGCGTCCGAATCGATATGCAGCAGAGATGCTATTAGCCAGAAGCTATGTATGTAGGCACGACGGCTGTGGTAAAGCGTTCGCAAGGAACGACCACCTTCAACGCCACGCGCTCAACCACTCAAGCAGTGAGCAACGCTGCCAGCGCTGTGATGCAACCTTCAAAAGGCCTGATTTGCTAAGTATGATATACCCTACCCTCTCCTCCCTTTGCTTCAAGACTAAGTGCTTTCCCCGAAAAGGACGTCATCTCAAACGGCATGAGATGCGAGACAACCAGATGGGAGGCATAGGCTGCGGTGTCCTTGACACGAAGCGAAGATATTGCAGAAATGACACTGCGATGCCGCCTGCCACTCTCCCACTGCAGCCTACCACGGCTAACACCGACTTAATCCATTATCCTGCTCGCCTAAGCCATGCCCCACAACACGTGCCGTCAAATTCAACACCTACGCCTATTTCATTGCCGCATATAGATCTGGCAATAATCCCTCAAGATTGTCCTTCGGCATCAGTACAACATCCGGGCACGGACATGCCAGAACCATGCGGCGGTGCCTCGATTCTAGGTATGTCACTGGATCACCTCTACGGTGGCATGACGATGTCGGGACCTCTTTCCAGCTCCGACTTCCCATTCAGCCTCGAATCGCTCGAAAGAGCATCATCATCGGTTACCGCTGGACTCGATATGGTGGCAAATGACGGTCCTCCTCGAGGCTTTCTCGGCAGCGGCGACCTCGTCTCAATCATAGCCCATGAACAAGATTTGTATGCCGACACGGAACCCATGATGATGGACACTTCCCGAGATTGGCCATGCCGGCTGTCTGAATTGTCGTCGGCATCCATCTCGGCTTCCCTGAGCAGCTCCTCTGATCAAGCCATGACTTGCGGACCCAGTGCCGTGACGGAAAACTCTACAACAGCCACACGAATGCTGCCCGCAGTGCAGCGAGATAGTCCGGGATTTACGGAACCCGGCGACGATGAACACGGCCCTGGCTCAGAGGACCACCGGGGCGAGGCACAAACGAGGGAACGCGACGAAGATCAAGGCGTGACAGGGCCAGATTCCCGCCAGAGCCCCATCCACTCCTCCACTACATCCGTTCCAGCCCTTACTGAGGCTCTGCGCCAACGCTTTTTCGAGGTGATAAGCGATACGAGACTGACGCACATGGACGGGGATGTGCCGTACACAGACCACCCCCACCTCTCCCTAACGGCACTTCAGTCCTATGCTGACCTTTTTTTCCGCCGATTCAACCACTGTTACAACCTCATACATTCCCCGACCTTTAATCCTGTACAAGCAGATATATTCCTTTTGATTTCGATCTGGTTGATCGGGGCGAGCTACAGTAGCAAAGACGCCCACCAGACGGCTACCTGTGTGTGGGATGCTTTGGTCCCCCACGTTATCCAGCAGTCAACTTCGGACAGCAGACCGTCACTTTCCATCCTGCAGGCTCTCTTGCTCTTTGATAGTTTTGGGACGTTTCGAGCAGCGCAGAAACAGCACGAAAGAACGCGGCTGTTCCATTCATCGATAACAAACGTGAGTTCTCCCTTCAAGCGACATCGGCAGAACGAAACCCTGATCATAATGCACTGCAGTTCATACATCAAAGCGTAATCGCCCGCTTGCGACTGAAAAGCGGGGAGAGTCCCAGAGGGAACCACGATATGGAGGGTGACTGGAAGCTATTCATTGAGAACGAGCAATGGAAACGGTTCGTGTTGGATGTCTCCGATGACGCCATCAGCCCGCCTGACTTGGATATAGGTTGTATTTTATCTGCTTTACGTGGGACGTCCAATATGCCTCTCTATTTTCGAGGCCTCTAGCTACGTCTCCCCACGACATCCACATAACCTTACCTTGCGGCCCAGCAACCTGGGACGCAAGATGTGCAGACGACTGGTCAAGGGCCCTGGAGAGCGAGCCAGCACCCATGCTCTTCAGCGATCTCCTGAGGAAGTTTTTGAACTTCGAATCCAACCCACCGCCACATGATAGCAATATCATGTCCCTAGTGTTCGTTCTCCATGGTCTGATTGGCGTCATGTGGCTCATGAAATGCAATGACGCGGCCTCATGCAGTTGGCTTGACCGCAAGAATGCCGAATGGGGCGAGACGTGGTCGGGAAGGATCTCGGGCTCGTTAAAGGCATGGAAGAGCAGATATGAAGCCCGCGTCGCGTACATTCTGGTGTCGACTCACGATAATACCTGGAGACACCAGTTCCTTGAGGCGAGCACCGGCATCTCCGCCATGTACCATGCGGCAAATATAGTTTTGAACGCCGAGATCACGGACCTTCTCACCGCGGCGGGTGCGCGAAGCATATTTGGCCGTGAGGTTAGTCCGGAACAGCGGGCGGCAAGCCCGGCTAAGGTGCTCGACTGGGCCATGACAACCACGGTGCAAGCCCGCAATGCCGGTTGGCATGCTGCCAGCTTGCTGCACGAGGGAATCTCCAACTTCAAGACGCAGGATATCTGTACTCCCTTCCATTATCCTTGGTGCCTCTACCTTGCAACTTTGGTGTGTTGGGCTCTCAATTGCCCGGATTTCGCTTGTCCGAAAGCACTCCAGCGACAGCGAGAACAGCAACAAAGGCTCAATTCGGTGTCTGCTCAGGATGCCTCCGATTCGAGGCATCCGACCGGAGACTCAAGCCGGGATGTTGACCCGAAAGTTGAAATGTACTCTCTTATTTCAACAATGCTAGTTCACGATCCATCGCAGATGTCGAAATGTGTTGGGCAGCATCGGACCGAGGGCCTGCTCAGCGAAATGACAAAGCTATTGAGCAAGATTCGATGGATAGGAGCATGTGAGGCGGTAGCCACAATGCGCGACCTGCTCTCAAGGAATAAAGAAGCCAAATAAGTGACCCACTCTGCATATAAACCTCACGGTCTTGGGTCGCGGACCTCGATAAAGTGCCAGCGTCTGGCTCCAGCCTCGACCAAGTTGGAAGATGATGGGAAACCCGGGAAAGGACATGTACAGTGTGCCGTAAACGATGGCGGTGTACAGCGAGGTAAGCAAGACAATGGGTTCACGGAACAGAAGGATCAAGGGGCGTATGAGAGAGACCGAGAGCTCTGCGAGAGTGTCCTAGGTGGCCTTTTCCCCAGCGTAGGCACTGAAGCATTGTCTCGAGGAATCCTGGTGCATTCCTTGGATCGAATATTTAAGAAGCCAAGGTCACCATTCCTTGGACAATATGGCAATCGATTTGGCCGCAGCTATTAGTGAGCCATCTTGGGTGTGGCGACGAAGCGAGCCCACGCCATCAAGACCTCCGGTTGGAATGTCCTTTCCCGTGGCCTGATACCTGATACTTGCGCCGTTGTTGCTGCCGTCTTCGGGAGAGGCATTATTTGTCCCCGATGACACGGAAACGCTTCGCATGGTAGCCTATCGCGAGCCTGTTGGACGGGTCATGATCATGAACACTTGGCTTTTATGCATCTATGGCATGCATCGGAAGCTCGTCCTTCGACTCAGTAACACGTAGCCTCTGGGAATGACAGCGATCATAGAAAGAACTTTTCCAAGAAGCCATGGTTGAGAGGTTGCCCATCATCTCCATTGCATGGATTACAACAGGACGAGAAATGCCAAGTTGAAAGGAACACGAGCTCAAAAACCATCGCGGCGAAGACAACATTAAATAGCGACGGATTTACAACACCCTCAGACCAGCATGCAACTGAACGACAGGGACATTGCAAGTGGGAAAGGGTGAATCGATAAGTTCAAATATTCCGATTAGTTAACATTGCATCCTGCTGCCTGCTCTTGGAAAATCCATGTCAACATCGGCCAGTAAAACCCAGTTGCCCAATCTGCCACTCGTCCAAGAAATCAAACCCTAGGAAATCCCCATAGAACGACGGATTATCCTCACACTGCTCCGACTGAGACGAAACTACGCCAACCTGTGTGTGCGGCGAAGCGTACTCGTCTGTCATGTTATGATCTTGTGGCTGCGACTGCGCAGGTCCTTGACCGGGAATGTTAGGCGGAACCAGGTACAGATTTTCATTGGCAAGAATCTCCTCAAAAACCGGCAGCGCCCTCTTCAGGGCAGGTATTTCTTTTCCCTGGGTGAGCACAAGCATTGTCTGGCTGATCGATATCCGAGCCATGGAACGGGCTATATCTTTCTCGGCTGGATCGAGGGCCGATTCGATTTGTAGAGCAAGCAGCGCAGTTATTGTGGTTATGCTAATAGGAAGGGTGATCATTAGTTTCATTGTGAAGTTCTAGAGGGCAGGTCTGAAAAGTAGGAAAATGGGAAGAAATGGACGGCCCTACAAAGAAATTGGAAAGTCCTGAAGGGGGATACCACTCGTCAACACCCTCATGGTAATCGTGTTCAACTCTAGAATAGCGGATCGAAGCCGTTCTTTGGCCCACTCTCTCCATGCCGCATGCCGGGACTGCTGCCAAGAGCGTCGCGTCAGACGACACAAGATACACTCAAACCTGTAGCTTGTCGCTCGTATATTCAGATAATACACGTCAGTTCCAGTATTCCCACCCACGTGCATCTTGGCAGCGAGAGACTCGCGCCATGCGTCGAGTCGGTTCATTATTTGGCGAAGATCCTGCTGTGGCTTGTTTGTGACAATGGTCAAACATTGTCCGACTAAAGAGAGTTAGTCGTCGTGCTTGTAGTATCTGTTACAGGCTGGGGGGTGTGGCGGGGAAAGGGGGCAAGAATGACGAATCGAATAAAACCAATACGTACATATTTGACCCAATTCGCAGTGAGCAACAAGCGAGGCTTTCTGCTGGCACATGGCCATCGGTAGTAGGCCTGGTGATGCTTCCGAGCCATCCTCCGTCTCCCAGTCATCTTCCGTCAGAGGCTTGATAGCGGCGGTGCTTTCGAGCAGCCGTGTGCGTCTGGTATTGGCAAAGACATAAAAAATGTCGAAAAACTAGGTAGTTGTAGTAAGCACCAAGTAGGAAGAACAGAAAATGGCGGCGAGAAAGGGGGCGTACATAGAGAGACCACCATATCCTTCTATACAACTTTAGGACTTCGCGGGACCCGTCCTCCCGAACGCACCTGCCGAAGGGCTCGTAGGCAAGTTAGCAGGCAGCTAATAGACACCCGTGGCACATGTCACAGGTGTCACAGCCCGGCAGAAATAAGCGCACCTGTTGCGTAGGTCAAGTTTGGTGGCGAGACGGATCGCGTTGTGGAACCAGTAGCCAAAGTCCCTGTCGCTGGGGTGGTCGAGAATCACCACGCATAGGATCATGGACCCTTGCAGCATCAACAGCGGGTCATCTTCGGCGGCAAAGTCGTGGAGTAGCTTGGCCTTGGAGAAGAGGGCCTCCTGCGCGGCTGATCGGCTGGCAAAGCCGCAGGCGGATAGCACATCGACTGGCACATGAAGACTGGCTGGGATCAGCATAGCGCGAAGCAGGAACAGAGAGCAGTCTCCGGATTGATAACCACGAATGAAATCAGCCCTATTGATCACAGGAGCAAAGGGGTGGACGTGGTCGAAGTACGCCTTAATGAAGGTATCTCTATTGTTTTCTATCTGTAAGTAGAGCGAGAACGAAGACTCGAGGAGGATGGGGGATTCGAAGATGGTCTCACAAGTGATGCGGAGGAGGTAGATCAAAGACACCCTTCTTGACAAGATATTCATTATCGATGGCGTCCAATTGCGGTAACTTCGTCCACAAACAGCCCCGAGGAGTAAAACTATCCTCTAGCCTTGAACTGCCGGGGCTATTAGAAGTGGTGTGATGTCGACTGGATTCGGCAGCGTCTTTCACGGCGTCGTTTAGGATATTGAGGTAGAGCAAATCGGCCTCGGCCTGGGGTGGGCCTTGGGAGTCCAGGGAGTCGGGGGTGGAAGATTGTTTTGATTGATTAGATGGATTAGATTGATTAGATTGATCAAGACTATTTAACAGGCTACCACTGGATGTACCCGGCATGCCTGGAGTCGGTGAAACATGGATTATTTTCCTTTGAGCCCCATCTACGTTAGCATGCGTGTAATGAACCATGAACCAAGAGCTATCATGTGAGAAATGCAACTAACCTGGTCCGGCCCTTCCGGACCGGCAGCACACAGTCCTCAGCGCACAGCCTGCTGGAACAGCCGCTGCATGGGAGGCCGACCAGGGCGGCATCGCACTTGACCTTGCGTGCCCGGCAAGGAACGCATGCCTTGTTGGCTTTGAGAGCACGTTTTCTGGTGTCTCCCGTCCTTTGTGGCTCGATGCCAGAAGCAGAAGTATTCATTGAAGAGAGAGGGACGTTTGTTATTGATAGCTAGCAATGGCGTGGATGGCCAGGGCATGCAAGGGCTCAGGGGCATTATGTGGTGGGGTGAGGGTGCTCTCCTGTTCTTCGATGTTTGGGATTTCGGCATTTAAGCTTCTGGTCAGGTCGGAACTTTGCTTATTACCGAGCACAGACCGACGATTCACCGTGTTCGTCCGTTCGTCATATGTGCCGTACTTCGTATGTGCCGTATAATAAGTCCGTCACCACTTGCATACAAGTACATATAACCGAAGAAGCCCACAGGATCTATGTACATAGTAGCAACCCTTCTCGCCCCACTACTATCAGGTGTAGAGCTGATGGAGGATAAATACACACTCACTTGTCCTATGTATAGCTCCACATACAGAATTTGGAATCCTTTTAGGGCATATTATGCGTGTGGGATACGACGTCGCTATTCCCTTCTAGTTACTTCCTCATTCCTAATTTAGTTCGTATTTTTCATACTTCGTAGTAAGGGATTACGGGATGCACGGCTTTCAATTATCGGAAGGGACTCTCTGTCTCCTACCGTACCATTTGGTGGACCATTAGAAGTTAACCTCTTGAATCTCTTCCGCGAAAAATACAGAGAGGTTGCTCAAGCCCAATTGACCTGGTTTTTCATTCTATTAAGGGAATTCAAAAGAAATCAAGGTTTCAACCTACAACGAATCCACACTTTCTTTACTTTCCATACTTCTCATCTATATCTAAAGCTCCCACCCTGCCGCCCCACCACAGATTACGAGGGCCAGTACTGTCGAGCCCAGCCTCCACTAAACAACCTATTCAGCATCCTTCTCTACCGACTCACCCTGTATCACGACGACGTGCTCACGACTCATCATCTCCAGCACCTTTGCTGCTTCGGAAGCATACTTGCACTTGGAGCGTATTCGCGGGCCGTACTTATGGAACAGAAACGGGAAAGGCAGGCACCCAAGCGCCAAGAACGCAGGGATGGAGCTCGCCCATTGATTTCCGAGATTCTCGTACATTCGTGTAGTAAACAGCGGAAACGCGGTGCCAAACAAGGACCGAAGCATCGAGTTGGCTGCCAACACAGAAGCAGCATAGACGACGTCTGTACAACGGGTGAGTATGTGTATTGTAGCAGAGGGATCATGAATCAAGCATCAAACGTACAAGAGTCTACTACGTAACTCATCAGCGACATGAAGACCATGACGAGACCGCACGCGAAAAGCGTGGCGCCGAGAATCGGCACGATCCAGTGCACCGATGGATACGTTGTCCAGGCAAAGAGGAACAGGCCAATAGGAAGAACAATAGAGCCTGCCATGGCCGCCCCCAGTCTGGCTTCGGGCTCGACTGCACGCCCTTCTGCCTCGGCGGCCACAGACAGGCGCACATAGCGCTTGTTGTCCACGCCGGCCGCCAGCGTGGCAAGACAGACGCCGACGGAGACTCCGACAAACGCAAGTCCGGCGGTGCCCGGGCTCCAGCCTCGACCAAGTTGGAAGACGATGGGAAACCCGGGAAAGAACATGTACAGTGTGCCGTAAACGACAGCGGTGTAAAGCGAGGTAAGCAAGACAATGGGTTCGCGGAACAGAAGGACCAAGGGGCGCGTGAGAGAGACCGAGAGGTCTTGCGAGAGCGTCCTGGGTGGCCGGCCCGCATCCAGCCGGGACACGTATGCGCTTCCTGTCATCCGGGAGAGGGCCTTGGCTCGGCGGCGTAGAATGAACGGCGCGTATGTTTCGGGGGTGGCCAGCGTCGTGGCAATCCAGATCACGCCGCCCAGTATGGCGATCAAACCGAGAATCCAGCGCCAGCCCTGGGCCTCGCCGAGAAAACCACCAGCAATGGGTCCTGGGAAAAGAATTTTGATGGGAATCAGCAAGTGTATAAGGGCAACGACGGCAAAACGATAACGGCAGAAGGACAACTACCACCTACCAAGTGCGGGCCCCAGAAAGGGAGCTGTAGCAAACAACGCCATCGCCATGCCGCGCTCCGTCTTGTTGAACATGTCGGCAATGACGCCCGCGGCGTTCGACATGGACGACGAACCAAATGCGCTCGCAAAGAAGCGAAGAACCAGCAAGGCCGTGATGTTAGGGGCACACGCCGCTGCCACACTGAACGCCGTGTATGCCAAGTACGAAACCACAAAGATGGACTGGCGCCCGTACATCTCCGACAAAGGCGCCCAGATCAGAGGTCCCAGGGCGAACCCCAACACGAAGAGCGACAAGCCTAGCGTGGCCACTTCTTTGGAGACGTCAAAGCGCTCCATGACGCCTCCTATGCCGCCGGCGTACACTGAGCTGGCAAAGGTCAGTGCAAACGTGGACATGGACTGGAGAACCGTGAGGGTCCATTTTCGTCCCTTGGAAAAATTCACGGCGTCTTCGCGGTCGTTGTGTAGGTAATCGACAATGTAAGGGTCGTCGTCCGTGCCGTTGCCGGAGTAATTGTGATTGCAGACATCGTCGTCGAGACGCGTGTGGAGGAGGAGAGGTCGAATCCAGGACATGCGCCGAGAGGCCTCGTTGACTCGCTTCGGAACGTCGTCGAAGACAGCGGGCTCAGGAAGGACGGCCATGGGAACGACGGGAAGGACAGGAAGGCCTGTGTCAAGATTCAAGACACGGACGGAGTAAAACCAACGAGATTTCATGCTTGGCCATCTTGTCAAAGCATAGTGGGTAGAAAGTGTGCTCGCGTTTATATAATTCACCCCGGAGGTTTGGTTCGGAGTTTCAGCCTAGCAATATTGGCGAGAAACGAAAGCCCGCGGCATTATCTACGGAATTATAACAAATTTCGCGAGTATCCCCCGACTTTGGCATGCTAAAAAATTAATTCTGCATTAGAACGTTTATAGTGTACCGTAAAATGAGATTCCATTAAATCATCGTCTCGTCTATTACATTTGCGTCGTGCTTACTGGAGATACAAATGTCTAGTAAAAGAACCTCTGACCACCCTGTAAACCTCCTCCTTCCGGAGGCATTTGAGGCTATTCTCCGGGTCAGTGCAGTTAGTGACGTCCAGCATACTCTCGTATTCAGCCACGCACATCGGACGCGTGGGGAATATGGTGTACCAAGGAAGGAATTCGGCAAGATGCCAACCTGAATAAAAACCCCTTGCGGTGTTAATGACGAGATCATTTTGACAGGATGCTATGGAGAGAAGGGCAAGAATGAAGGGGCAGAAGTGAGGAGTTTCGTGATCGAATACAGCACGACCTCCCAGTTGAGGAGATGCGAGCAGGTTGGAACCTGTTACGACACCAAAACGAAGATATATGAGCTATCAGGTTGAAATCATTGGGTATCTCTAACCAGAGGATGCGATCTTTCGATACAAGAGACAATATCTTAAGCCAAACCTGTAGAATCCATAAGCATTCGTATTCGTCTGAAGTGTCGGGCGCAGGGTAATTGTATGGGAGAACATGGCTTGAATTGGTCGATGATCGGGAGTTATTGCCTAATTGACGGCAATAGCAGGGGCGTAGAGAGAAAGCAGAAACGGAGAGTGTCCTGTTGCGTGACAGAATATGCCTAATGGCGGGTAGATGTTAGTCTCACGGTGATATGAAGTTCGAATCTTAGCCACTGCGGCCTTCGGGTAAGGATTGCCGTGATACCGCCTTAGAATTTGGAAGGAGATTTCCGCCTCCCTTCATTTCTTGACGAAATATGGTTGGAATCTGTCGAACCCAAAAACTACCACCTGAGAATGACTAGCAATTCTCCTCCATGCAAGTGAATGAATTTGGAGTAGGCAGCGTCTGCGTATTCCGGAGAAAAGAAAGCTGCCGGGTCGCCTCCCCCAGGATATCAGATGCAACAGATCCAAGGTGAGAGATAATCAGAGAAAGAGAAACCCCCACCACACGTACTAAAGGCTATTAGACAAGGACGTACCACGAAACGCAACGAACAACTTGGGAAGCCACGAATGGGGCTCCTTTCAAGAGGGGGCTTGCATTTGCGGTCGCGGGAGCGACCAGACCCAGTACTTTGGAGTGAGGTTCTAGCGACGGCGGCGGGGACGAGTAACGCGTACTAAACGCTCCAGCCACTGCTGCTTTCGCTTTTATCATTCGTCAATCAAGTTTCTACCCTGGTCTTTCGTCTAAACGGGAAGGTGGCCACTGTACAGCCGAGCTGAGCTTTGACGATGCAGACTCCCGCCCGGCTGACGTGGGCAATCGTAGGCGATCGATAATCGGGATCGGCTATGGTGACCCACATCGATCTTCGGGCGTTTCGTGTTTCACGCGAATGCACCAATGAGAGCGTCTTCATATGATATTTCTCGTTGGTGATCGGGCGATGAAAGGGGCAGTTCGAGGTTTCTCTTCCTTCATCTGGGGCGAATGCTGCGCAAGATGGCAAGTCCATGTTTTGCCTGCGATATTTTGGGTCCAGGTTTGAAGAAGTTCAGACGAGAGCATGATATATGACGAAGATGTTGGCCGAGGCGAATCTATTTTTATTGCCTCATGCATCCTAAAGAGGTAGATGTTTGAGACTGGGATGATGCAAAATGCAATCCACGATATACGTCCTTTGTACGAGTCTCTGGAAGCACGGTGCGCAATTTGAGTTTGCATCTCATCTGAAATCTCAACGATGTGGCAGTTACCCTGAATCGAATCGAGGGACTCTCTGCTCAGAGCCCCAGCTGCACAGCAATTCCTCCTTACCGCAAATAGGAATTCAACGATATTGCTTCGTACATGGAGGAGAAGTGGCTGGGAGGCGAAGAAGAGAAGACGCATTGAGAAGCAACGTAGAAGCTTGCGTAAGAGCGAATAGGGGAGGACCAAGGACAGCTCGGCGCTAGGTCCATCTCGGCAATTAGCCCGCCACACCGGCCCCAGGATTCGTCATCAGTTCCAGACATTGCAACTACGCGCGAGCTGGTGTGTGTGCTCGTCGAAGCGGGTTCCCTGCGGGCGATCCCTAGCTTCGAGAGGAACACGCGTCCGAGCGAGCTGTGAGGGCATGGAAGGGATTCCTCGGTCCTTTTCTTGGTCACATCGCCATTGAGAGTTTGACACTCAGATCCAATCAAAGACGCGGATTAAGAATGAGACGAAGCACAGTCGCGCAATAGATTGACATTACAATAATAAACTTTCGTCGGAGATATAATCGACATGATATTGGAGGAAACCCGGGCCCCACTGCCATGCTGCAAATAGCTCAAGTTTAATTGGAGGGGAGTTCTGGTCTGTGGCCCGAACCGCGGTGTGTCTCTGAATGTAGACATGGTAAACGCAATCAAAAAGAAGATTTTCTTCTTGCGGCCTTGTCTCGTCTCGTTATTGCGACCTGGCTCGGTCCCCCACCGGCTCCACTACCGAAGATGATGGGTCCGGCATAGACTGTAAGTGCGTATTGACAGCGAGACGTCGTCACTCTATGGTTTGTGATATCTCATGAACAAGCGCATTCTCGACGGACATGTATAAGATGCGTCTACATCCTGGCGGAAAACACAATTCCTCTCCTCCCTCACCACCACCGGCTTCCAAGCTTCCATTCATTCTTCCATCCCTTGAGTCTCCCAGGTCTTGTTTATTGTCCTAAACATATCCAATCGCTTGCACCTACACCAAGATGCATTTCGCTACTCTCCTTGCCGGCGTCTTGGCTGCCACTGGAGTTGCAGCCCACCCGGGCCACGACCACTCCAAGGAGGTCGCAGAGCGTCGAGAGTACCTCCAACACAACCGCCGAGATCTCAGCCACTGCGCTGAAAAGATGAAGCGCAGCGGCCTCTCAGCACGCAATGCCAAGAGACGTGCCAAGAGAACCCTTGAGCTCGCCGCTGAGAGGGCGCCCAACTCGCTGGCATTAAAGAGTAAGTACCGCCAGCCGGAATCCCAAGTCGTGGCAGTACAGACATCTAACCAGATCGTCTTTGATGTAGAACGCCAGATCGAGGAGTTCCTTCAGATCGACCACCAATCTTCGGAGAATTACACCTTGGATACGGCCCCCGCCGATCTCTTCTCCGGGAGCAACTTCTGCGTCCTGACACCCGAGGTCACCGAGGGCCCTTACTGTATGTTCAACTGATACCCCTAGAGCCCGAATACCGACTAGGTTCTAACTGGTTTGCAGACGTCAGTGGGGAGTATGTTCGGGACAACAACATTGAAGACCAGGAAGGCGTCTTCCTTGGTCTGGATACCCAAGTTATTGATATCAACACCTGTGAGCCCGTTTCCGGAGTCTATGTCGAGATTTGGCGTAAGTGTTATCTGCCTCAAGACAGCCCTCTTTATCGATATCACTGCCCTGGAACTAACTGCATCGTACAGACTGCAACTCTACTGGCGTTTACGGTGGCGTTGTAGCTCAGGGCAATGGAGTCGGCTCAGCTGATCCCTCGAACATCGACAATACATTCCTCCGCGGAGTCCAAAAGTCCGATGAAGACGGCGTCGTAACCTTCTCGACCCTCTTCCCCGGTCACTATACCGGCCGAACCACCCATATCCACGTCATGGTCCATGCCAATGCCGAAGAGCTAGCCAATGGCACTCTCTACAGCACTCAGGCCACCCACGTCGGCCAAGTCTTCTTCGACCAGAGCCTTATCGAGACCGTCGAGAAACTCGCTCCATATAACACAAACACCCAAGAGCTCACCACTAACGAGGCTGACTCCATCCTAGCCGAGGAAGCCGCTACTGGTGTTGACCCTATCGTTAGCTACGTGCTCCTCGGTGAATCTGTCGGAGACGGCTTGCTCGCCTGGTTGGGCTTCGGTGTCGACACCAACTACATCAGGAATGTCAGCGCAGCGTCTACTCACTTCGAAGATGGTGGTGTCGCCAACGAAAACGGCGGCGGGTTTCCTGGCGGTGAGGGTGGTTTTCCTAGCGGTTTTCCCGGTGGCCCGAACGGAACCTTTCCCACTGACCTTCCAAGTGGTGCTCTGCCTAGCGGTGCTCCTCCTGATGGCACTCTAGCCAGCGACGTTCCCACCGAGAGTGTTCTCGCGAGTGATGTTGCTCCCAGCGGTCTGCCCAGCGGCGTCCATCCTAATGGTCCTCGACCCAGCGGCGCCAGACCCAGTGGAGCCGCCCCGAATGGCCCTCGACCTAGCGGTGGGCCTAATGGCGCTCTACCGAGTGGTGCTCCTCCGAATGGTCCCCGACCCAGCGGCATCCCCGAGGGCTTTCCCACTGACCGCCCTAGCGCGGAGGCTATCGAGGCTAGCCATGCCCCCGATGGTTCTTGTCAGCGCAATCCTCGCAAGCATTAACCTGAATTTAGTGCAGAAGCCGACATTCCGAGCTCATCGAAATCCGATTGTGCGGGAAATGGGTGAAGGATATGAGAAAGTGTATCATGGGATTAAGCGCTTTCCCCAGGCCAAGAAACCCCCGTCTTATGTTCGAAACATCTGGGCATTCGCTATTATTCCCGTTGTAAATATCACTGTCGTTTCCGCTTGTTTGGTTTCAATTATTGTATATTTCATGTTGAGTGCCTCGTCTCTGCAGTTGCGAACGACGGCCAGTTGTCAAATCTAGACTCAATAAGGAACATCCAGTCCTCACAAACAGACCTCGCGTAGTCTCCATTTCCGAAATGATGCTTGTATTTGTACGAATTAAAACCTTTGCTGCTTTTACCACGTCGTCCCTTTTGTTCTTGGGTCCCAGCAATTATTTCACGATCAATTAATCTCAATTTTAGTGTCGCAATCCTCAAACGACCAGACCAAGGCTCCAATATTCGAGGCCGGCTTGGAATCCCCTGCTCAAAAGGTGCCTAAACCGATCGATAATACTTCTCCAATATTCGTTCCGCGCATGTCAATCCCGTTAAGTCTACCCGCTCACAATTAGCATGAGGAACAGTCTTACACTTGGGTATCTCCTCGAAGAAATAGAAAACCAAATTGAAAAGAATCGGGCGACGTATCGTATACTCACATGCAGCAGCCTGAGTATGACCACTCAGTAACACGGGGACGACGCTCATGTCCGCCACGCGCAGTCCGTCAATACCAATGACACGGAAGTCACTATCCACAACGGCGTCTTCGTGGCCGCGGCGGCCCATTTTCGCGGTACCTGTCATATGCCAGCTCGAACACCCAGTCTGCCTCCAGTAATCGAGCAGATCTTCATCGGATTCGGATTTGGGGCCGCTTAAAGTCTCAATGGTGTCCTTGGCATACTCCTCGAACTTTGTCAACTCCAATACAGATCGGAGTGCCTCGACGGCAACGCGTCTGTCGAAAGCGGATTCGAGGAAATGTGGATCGTACAGCAACGGCACGCCAGGATCCGAAGACTGAAGAGACACAGTTCCCCGGCTTTGGGCGTGAGGGAGGAATAGGATCAGACACAAATACTGGTAGCTCTCCTTGTCATCCTTGACAGACCCCGGAATGGCCATGTGTATGGGAAAGTGAGTTGCCAGCTCATAATGCGGGATGGTTTCGCGTAGCAGGTGCTTCTGCTCCGCGGCGGGCAATTCCGTAAATTCCGGAAAGGACATCAACGATTTTCCCAGCTTGAAGAAGCCGATACCCATGCCACAGCCAAATTTGGCCCAAGGACCTGATCCGTCTTTCTTCCACTCCTCCATCGCTGCATCCATCGCCGCTTGGTCGCCGTAAAATTCTCCCTTCTTGGATCCACTTGCCACCGTGCGCTTGTGAAGCAATGGGGTGAGAATGTGGTCCCTGAGGCCGCGGCCAAGCGCGGGCATGTCCAGGACGACGGGGATGCTGTACTTTTGTAACTGGTCCGAAGGCCCGATTCCAGAATGCATTAGAATCCGTGGAGTGTCTAGCGACCCCGCGCACAAAATCACTTCCTTGGAGACGAGATACCTCTTTCCATTCGACTCGACACCAACAGCCTTCTTTCCCTCCAGCAGAATACGCTGTACCGGGCTGTCGGTAAGAATGACGACATCCCCCGGCAATTCTACTAGCAGATCAGCAGAAGTAGACCGAACACCGTGGTGGGCTGAACTTATCATCAACGACATTCCAAGGGGGTTTCCAGAATTGTGATCCGGATTCAAAGGGAGTCCTGCCTTCTCTAGTGTGACCATGAGGGGTATTAGATCCTCTTCTAATTCTCGCGGGTAGCCAACGCGGAGCGGACCCTGTGTGCCGTGGTCTGACGGCTTCGGGGATGCGAATTTCGGATGGACACCAGAGGGAAGCTCGGAATGAAAAGTCTCCAAGCTTTTCAGACGGCGCTGCATGTTCTCCCACCGAAAAGCTCCATCCCCAACTCGCCTGGCCCATTCGTCATAATCGTCCTTAGCTCCGACGGTAAAGACGCTGAAATTGATGGCGCTTGAGCCGCCCATCCCCTTACCACGAGCATAGTCTAGCTCACGGTTACCGCAGTGGGTCTGGGGAATTGTCTTGTAGCCCCAGTTCATCTCCTTGTTTTGGAACGTCTGCCACCGCTGTCCATCTACCCGAAGATTGTAGTCATCGTTCAGGCCTCCAGCTTCCATCAGGAGAATCCTGACATTATTATTCGCGGAATGTGCCAGGCTCCATGCCAACGCACTACCGGCCGGCCCGCCTGACCAGGAAAGCCTGAATTAGCGAGAAGCATCTCCGTAGCGGAAGAAACTAGCCTTACTGCCAACAATGATGAAATCGTAAATTACTTCCTCCAGCTTTGCTTCTTCCATGGTCGCGAATTCATTAAAATCTGTGTATCACGAGAAGAAATAAGATGCGCTGGAAGAAAGTGCTGAACGTTTTGGGGGTCAGCTGATAAATATAAAGAAGGGGCATCCCTTCGGGTGACCTTTAACATTCGATTCTTGGGTAACTTTTATTCAACGGCTACGTCAATGCGAGAGTCGAGCTTCCGATAAATGATGAGAACGAGAACGGGAACGCGAATGATAACCAAGTATAAACGCCACGCAATAGCAGTTTCCCCGCTAAGACTCAAATGACGAGTCGTAATAGTGGACTGAGGCGATGGAACGATCATAGTTTTACCTCACGACTTTCGAACTTTCGACCTTGCAAGTTAATGTGTTGACATGTGCCTGATGTGAGTGATGTACTAGCAAAATCAGACGAAACTTAACTGGCGGTGTTCCTCCGCTTTGGGAATGCCCGACTTTGCCAGTCACAGCTCAAACCAGCCCAGCCCAATTCTGTATGGCAGTGTATAATCTTGTCTTACCTTCTAGCCCGGTCGGGTTTGGGCAGGCAAGTCCTTTTTCCTTAGGAGTACCCTTTGAAGAATTCGGCCGTAGAACTTCATCGCCACACCCGAGAAATGGACTGGGATGATAGAGATCCCTCACCTTCCTCGTGGTCTCTGCTGAACACACCCAGAAACAATGGACTGATGCGCCAACTTCACGACGACCGACATTAGAGGGATGCGGTCCGTATTCAGATCATCTGGGCCTTTCTCGCCATTGTCTACACGGCCGTCTCCAGCTGTTCAAGCTCGATGCCTCCTGCCAGTTAGTTTGGCTATGGTCCAGGCCAGATGCTGACGTTAGGTATATAAATTTAAGAGTCTCCATAGCCACCAATCTAATCTCTATTTGGTAGGTCCCGGCAATTCGGTCTCTTGTTCCTGGCTACCAAGATCCTGGGTGAATCCTCGTCAACCGCCGTTACAAAGTAGCTGAACCGACAATTCGCTCGCTTGAGTACACCAACACCATGGGCAGACGTCTAACATGTAACCTACATGGCTAGGCTAACTCAGCTTAGGGGCCATGGATATCGACCCTCTCGGATTCGGCGAACCCTATCCTTCCACGAAAAAGCAAGCTTCTCATCTCGAGCCCAAAGACCAGAGACATACCGCAAGAGCGACCCGTGGAAGATTTGCGTGGCGGTGAGACCCCACCGCCAAACCATATTTGGCCTAGCAGAGCCGGGCCTACAAAATGCATGTCTGAAATTCTGAATGTGAAAATGCGTCCATGGTCGGGACTTGGGACGTCGGGCATCCAATGGTGACACCAAGTCTAAGCGCCGAGTAACCACTAGTGAGGACTCGAGACCACCTGCGGGAGTACTGTTCGACATTCATAGGCGGTTTTCGTGCCTTTATTTTGCATCGCCACCACCATGCAGCACTAGGCTGAATTAGCAGGCAATGACGACGAGGATACAAATGGCGGCGCTAAATATACGCTCAGGATAGGGCTCATCGAAAGAGAGTTCCATCCTACACTGGAGAACGTAATCTACTTCGTCTGTCCCTTCGTCCATACACGGCCAAGTCGGCCTTCTGCTTGAAGAAACGCGGGTTCTGTGATGCCGGTCCGGCTCGCTCGAGGCTCACACGAATGACCCCCTGCCATCTGGGGCTGAGTGAATTTGGCACTCATTCATCCTTATCTATCTGGGAGTTCACGCGTACCATGCTCGACAACGCGGGACAAATTCCGTGACCCGACTCTTAAGGTTTGCAGACATCATGCAGCGCCTTCTTCTCCGCATGGCTCACGAACATTGGAACCCCGCACACGGAGATCCTCATGTAGGTACCCATACCGTCAAATTCTCGACCTTGGCGGGCGCGTAGAGCCTTTACTTCTCTTGGTTTCGCCGAGTAGAATGCCCGCATTCCGGCGTCCAGGACCAGGCTCTCGGTGGCCGTCCGCCAAGATTGCAACCTGCAGATCAGTTTTCCTCCCATCTAATTCGGAAGTATGGCAGACTCTGGCCTTGGCCATCTCCCACAGTCTGCCTCGGATTCGGTTCTCCAAAATAATCAGCTGTGGATAAGAAACCATGTGTTCCTGCAGATTGTTTCCAATCTTCCTCTTGGCCTTCTCATGGAGTAACAGACTTCCACTATCACATCGACATGGAACGGCGAAACACTCCCAGCGTCAGGCTTTGGCTACTGTCTATGATGTCTTGGATCCCCGCGTCCATGGGTGTTTCCATGGCGGCATGGTGGCCGAACGTTGGCGTCTAGGTGATAGTTCAGGATCCTGAGTCCCTTGATTTACACTACAGTTACTGCAATCAAGGGTACGACGTCGTGTTTCCTGTCGATGAACCGCTCAAACTCCCTATCACAACGAAACCCCGTAACGGTACCGCAATAAGGGGAGCTGGCTGGTGGGACGAAACCACGACATGGGTAGGTTTTCATTTTCATTTGCTGCTTTCCTTCTTCTTCTTTCACGATTCCTTTATCAACCCTCCTTGATACGAGCCCAATCTCTTACAGGCCCGATGCTGACTCAGTCTTATCTTAGGCTCTCGTCTGGTACTTCGATGAATTCAACAACCTCGTGCATGGCAGATACCGCTGCGACCCCTACACCGGCAAGTTCGAAAAGGAATTGGACGACGTGCTATCAGACGAACTACAGAGCAGTGTCAAGCTCAATAAAAACTCCGGGATCGGTGCTGCGCTGCTAGGTGCAACGGACGGAATCCGTGTTTACCTCCACAGCGAAGAAGGCGAGATTCACTCCCTGATTTTCACGAATGATCGAGGCTGGAAATACGAAAAGATCATCAGCCCGGATCAGGATAGGTCGAGTTACACCATGGGGGTTCTTAGTCGCGTCGGAAGCTCGAATGAAATAACTCTGATCACACCTAAGGCCTCTAAGAACATGGAGGAAACAAAGCTAGATCCCGATGGCATATGGTACATAGGTATGTTGTCGTGGTCTTATCACTCATCTCTAATGGGGGTGGGGCGTTAACGAGTTGAACGAATCTAGATACGTTTCCCGCGCCTCTGGCGGCGTTGAACGTCACAAGCGCTTCCAACCGAATCCGTTATGCCATCTCAGAAAGGGACCCTGGCCCTGCCACCGAGCTCGAAGCGTGGGACGGCAATCCAGGTAATATTGGCATCGCCATGGGAGAGAGGTCGCGATCTCTATTCTACATTGGCACCGACAGGGCCCTCCATCAAATGGAGAGCTTCCCAACTCCCCAGAAGAACGCGGATCCAAAATCCGACCCACTTGACGCTGGAGTCTGGAGAAAAGTTGCCGGTCAAAACGACACAAGATGGCCTCTCACTGACGAGGAGAATGCCAACTTTGCCTTTGCAACGTGGCTGAACGAAAAGGGAAGCCATGTGCGGATCTTCTACATGGTGGAGGGCGAGCTAGCTCAAGCCACGTATGAGAACAACACATGGTACCAGGCGGAGAAGGTCGCGACTGAGAGGAAGGCCAAGAGCAGGCCACTTTCAGATGGTGCCAAGGCAGGTATCGCCGTCGGGGCTTTCTTCGGTGCCTTTGCCTTGGTTGCTGTTTCGGGAGTCTGCTTCTATCTCAAGCGACGTCGCCGGGACCGGCAAGACTATGTTGCAGCTCCTGCTTCTTCTGTTCCTACCTCACCACATTACATGAATTCTCCTCATATGGGCGACGGAAGCCAATGGTACCTGCCATACTCACCACACCAAGCTCATATGTCCTATATGTCAAGTCATTCCTTTGATTATGCCGCCATGTCGGAGCCCAAATTTGAACCTGTAGCGATAAATCAGGAGCCGAGGGAACTTCCAGAGAATAGCCTTCACAACTCGAGACCCGGTACGTTCAGCCATTCAACTACCGAGACGCACGAAATGGCCGGCGACGGCTACACTCCTCTGTCCCCGCAACCAACCCAGCGTTTACCACTCGCTCCAACGGGCGGTGTTCTTGACAAACAAACTCACTAAATGGGACATCTGGACGGATCATCTTGGGGGGATATTGAGGAGACTGCATAGGATCTCCGAGGGGAAAAGTCTGTTTGACTTGATGTTGCGGAATCTCTTCTTTGTTTATTGTTATTTGAAGGCTTCTTGTGTTGGGTCCATTCGAGTTGGAGGTGAACGTAGAACGGAGTGACGTGCCGTAGACAGTCAGCAATGATTCTGTAACGAGCCGAAACAGTTTAAGACATACATTTTTGGTTCACTATGAGGTCCCACGTACGATACGATCCAAGATCAGTTCTGGATTTTGAAACATTGCGTTAAGCCGTCTAGAACTATCTGTCTATTTAAGCCCCGGAATCTGAGATATTGGCTGGACCTGCCCCGAGTCTGATCTGAAGAAGTCCATCGACGCAAACAACTAGCATCACGTAAGTCAAAAACATCTAAAGTAATTAGGTGACCGCGCGTGAAGTTCTTACTATGATCTTATTATAACTATATTCTATCGCTGATATATTATGACAACTAGTTTCAAGCCGTCCCAATGCCCGCAATCTGCGCCCCTCCTCTCTTTTTGAGTCGGGCCTCGAATCGAAAAGAGAGAGGTCATGCTTCACAGTTTTCTTCCCCCGGAGAGTTTTGGAAGCAGGTGCCTACTCGTCCCTAAAGTTTAGGCCCTTTGAACCATAGGCCCTGGCTTAGGACTGACCGTCCTCGGCCGTTTCAGTATCGACGCCATACTGACTGGTCGTGGTGCCGATTCATACCCATACATATCATCAGGTAAATGTGAGATAGAGGCCCGGGTTTAGAATCGGGGAGGGGGTAGGCCGCCGAGCTTGGGGCGCGGTGATCGTTCTGGACAATGTCAAGAGACACTTTTCCATTTCTCTAATTATCCCACGCTGTCTCTGCGCTCCGCTTCGTCCACGTCCCCTGCCTTCAAATCCATTGCGAACGGACTTCGTGACCTGACAGTCTCACCAAATATGCATAGCAGCCAAGGGACAGCAGTCAAGAGGAACCCAATGGCACCGAGAAGACTTCCGGCCACACCGTAGGATAGATTATGGAACATCATGTGTGTGACGAGGGGGAAGATACCCGCCAGTAGGTTGCGACACATGCTCTGGGCCGCCAATGCCGAGGAGGCGTACCGGTGGTAGGTGTCGGCAAAATAGTTGAAAACGGCGAGGTAGATGCTGAAGATACCAACCGTACAGGCGCCAATGGCAAAGACTGGAACAATCCATGGGGCGTGGGCGCCGGCGCTCCAGCCAAACCAGAACAGGCCGATGGGCAGGAATGTAGATTCGACGCAGGCTGGAAGCAATCTCCCCTCGGGTGTTGCCATTCGCTCGGGCCATATCCGACAGAGAATGGGTTCTCGGGTGATGTTTACTACCCCAACCAGGACGGATCCGATGATGACGGAGGTGGAGACTGCTCCAATCTGCGTGGTTGTGAAGCCGTAGGTTTCGCGGAACACGATGCCGATACTGTTAAACTGGAGGTAGAGAATGGCCCATGCGAAGGAAACCCAGGCGGAGAACCAAAACACGACGGACTCGGTCGCGAGGAGACGGAGAGGAAAGGCGAAACTGCGCCAGATTACAGCCACGCTAATCTTTTGCTGGACGACCTGTACAGAGAATCGAATCCGCCGCGGCCGACCATTGTTTTTACTATTAGGCCTAGATGGGAGTCGATCACCAGTCGTCGCTTCGACTTCTTTCCCGCCCGGATGGGGACTCGTATTTCCCTCGACGAGCGTTTCCGGGCAGCTATTCAAGGCGCTACACATCCTCTTGAGGATGACGTTGTTTCGCGTTTCGGAGAAGAAGAGAATAATCTCCAACGTCGTTGCGCCCAGCATGATCATTTGGAGATAAAAGACCCAGCGCCAGCCAAGCTCGTCCACAACCACGCCGCTAATCAGGGGGCCCAAACCGGTTCCTACCAGGACGGTAAGGGCGTAGAGGGTCATCGGTGTGTTTCTGTGCTGCTTGTGGTAGATATCGCTAACGACACCGGCGGTGAGGGTCGCGAAGACGGAGGCGCCGCAGCCCGTGACGAAGCGTGAGATCAACATGCCGGCTAGCGAAGACGTGACGGCACAACCGAGAGTCCCGAGGAAGAATATCGTCCCGGCGATGGCGAAAACCCAGTAGCGGCCGTAGTTTTCGCTGAAAGGGGCGAGAATCATGGGGGCGATGCCGAATCCCAAGACGAACATGGTGATGCCGATGTTGAAGACGGTAGGCCCCACGTTCCACTCCCGCATCAGGAGCTGGCTAGGCATTGCGTACGATCCGGCGGAGTAGGCGGCGAGAGTACATGCGACGAAAGGCCCCGAGAGAATGACGGTTTTCTTTGCCGTGCTCCACTCGAATGGCGAACCGAACTTGGGGTTGCCTTTCGCGAGGGCGTCAGCCCAACCCGAATGACCGAATCCTCTGGCCCTCAGCAACTCGGAGATGGAAAAGGATGAGTCGAGGGCTTCGAGGGTTAAGGGTATGTCGACGTATTCTTCCTCGGCGTCGCTGTCCTGGCCTGGCGAGGCACCGGGGTTTTGCGAAGCATATTCATCCTTTTTGAGTTCTTGGGATGGTTCATTCGATGGCTGAGGAACCCCCTCGATTATGATTGCAGACATTGTGACAGTGTCGTTCTCTCCAGACGACATTGAGCACGAAGGTCAGTCGGCAACGTCGAATGAAGCCTTGGGCTGTGTCGGAAAGTCATCCGGACCTTGGAGGGGAATTAAATAAAAATAAAATACACATATATTTTTGGAGGAACGCCCTTCGGAATGCTATCAACGGAGTCATTCCAATGGGGAGTGGATAAGAGCTCCCAGAAAAGCTGGCACCCCATTGGCCTAAAGTCGACAAAGCCGAACAAGAAGGGTTTGGATCAGCAATGGTCGGCACATCCGCCGGCAAGGATCGAGGACACAGGGCCCACCGAGGCACATCTCATTTTTGACTTGGCTGGGCGGGCTTTTCCTAATCCGCATCCGAACATTAATAATGATAGTTTCTTGGGGAAGCAACAGGAACTCGGGCTTTCGCTCTCGGGGTTAGGGGGGGCACTTGGGAGGCACTCTGGATGGCAATTGGACGAGTCCCCTAGTCACCATTGGGCCGGACCAGATCCTGGCGACGCCAGGCGAGCAAAACGTCAGTGCAAACTCCGACACCGCCAGGCCAAGACACCCCGTTGTCCACTTTCCCCGCTCCCCAGCGTTCCCACTTCCCCCCATTACCACGTCTTGGGAGCGGGCCCGCAATCATAAACATGCGGAGAGGGAACTCTAAACCTCTTTCTGACTTGGGGGAATCTCCACTCGATAGGATTGTGTTGGTCCGTTGGATAACCGTAAACGAGTCTTTTGAGGGGGCGGGCCGAGGCTGTTTTAAGCTGGAGTTTGAGGGCGGCGGCCAGAGAAGTCTCGCCTCTCGATGCAGTAATGACGTCTGGTGACCATAGTTGTTCCACTGTCGAGAGCATGCATGCTGCCCACTGTTCCCATTCGCGTTTCCATCCTGATCAGCCCCAGCAAACTGGATCTCACGAATCAATTTCGCTTGGATTTCCAATCACGCTTATGAATTAATATTTACTAACGACCCACACCCTACAGGTTGTGCGAACAAGGCGAGAGCATCTTCGAGACTGACGGCAAGGAACATTTGACATCGGGAGAGAACAATCGAATATTGAGAACTCGATGCCGGCGTTGTTTGCCGATTCGAGAGCGTGAAGAAGAAAAACAGAGGAAATAATGCTACCTCGTAGTTTAATTGAGAGTACTCCATCCATCACTAAATGAGGTTAAATAAAAACGAATAATCACAGAACAATACAAAGTACGAAGTATTAGACGAAAATATCCAAAATTCAAAACTAATCCGAAACACACGCACACATCCCCAGAGAGAGAGAAAGAGAGATAACACACACACACACATACAAATGACGAACTGACCCAAGGGCAAAAAAAACCAAAAAAGACGAAAAAGAAGGAAGAAAAAAAAAAGAAGAAGAATCAAAGAAGAAGTAGAAATCGGAACGGGCCCAGAAGGAAAGAGGGAAAGAAAACTTAGCCCTCTCTCCCGGTACTGTGCCCTCCCATCAATGGAAACCAGTCCAAAGAGGGAGCACATCCACCAAATATCAAACCTTGCCTTTGCCCTTTCCTTTGCCTCCCCTATTTATCCCACTTCTCAGATTTACCGACCGGAAGTCCGAGCCCACCGCGGTTGGATCTGGTTCTTTGCAGGACCAACACTATTTAGCCCGATGGGGCCGATGCTGGTAGTATAAACCGTCCTCCCAGATCCAGGATCCCGCGCTACATAGCACAGATAGTCCGCCCCGTCCCTGCCTGTGATCACAGCCGATTGCCATTCGGAACCTTGGATGTAGAAATCTTGGAATGCATTCTTGCTTCGGACGAAGAATTGGGTGTCTTCGATCGAGGCACCCCACTTATAGATCTCAACATTTGCTTCGTAGGCCGAGGCTGGGTTGACCCTGGTTCGTGGTGGGGTGCGCTGTCTGATGTCTCTACTCGGCGGAGACCTGGAGTTGGACCTTGAGCTTGGAGGTGCTGGAGAGGGCCTCCTGGAAGAGCCTGCAGATGGAGTGGGCTCCACGTAAAGGGTGCTTGGCTGACCCCGAGGAGGGGGCCGGGTCGGGGTTGAGACTACAGACCCAGTAGAAGAACTGGGAGCGTCGGTACTATGCGAGCGGGAGCGGACGCCGGGGTTGTGGCCGGCGGGAGAGGTAAAGATGTCGGGGCCATAGGAAGGGGAGGTACCGAGTCTTCGGAAAGAGCTATCAGGGGCACCTGTGAGGGGAGCAGGGGGGCTAGAGCGGTGGGGTAGGACGAGAGAGGAGCCGCTGGCACCAGTTGAGCTAGGATGCCCGCCGAGAGAAGGGGGGGTAACGTTTCGGGAGCCCAGGAGGCGTAAGAGGGTCGATTCATCGCGGCTTCCCATGTTTCCCTTGAC